TATATATAGACAGTACGAACATTCTCTCGAAGTTTCTCGGCAATTTCAGTAATATTTTCAGCAACGTTTGTTTTTGACGGATGATCGCTCGTAGCATTGTTGAGCAATATATCGACCGATTGACTTACGAGCTGCAAATGAAGTACTATGGATATAATCTTCAAAATAGCAATAGGAATAGCTAAAAAAAAGATGGCAGAATAATTAATAAACAAAAACTAAAGAATGGAAGAGAACGAGAATAAAGGGAGAAAAAAAAATCGAGAAAGCGAACTGAAATGAAGAAAACAAACATCATCAAAGAGATCGCAAATTCGATATGGTAATCCTCGTTCACAAATGAATGATTGAAAGAGAAGACTATCCAGAAAGGTCCGTATTAATGGTGAGTTCGAAAATGATTTCAATCCAAGAAATGCGGATTTATGAAAGACAATCAGCGGTGGTGTGTGAATGCGAACCACTTCCAAACAGCATCGATAACCAGCTAGTAGTTCGGCGAAGAAACGAATAAAACACGCACGGATACGTTTGTCCTGAAATAATCGACCATACATCCAATCCAATTCACTGCTCGTTTCAACACTTCTTCAAATCAACCAACTTGAACTTCTCGTGATGGATATGGTGGCTGACCCATTTTCCAAGCATCATCGGCACTCACCAAACTTGGATTTAAAACCTGCAATGAATTCGATAAATACACATTTCGCTCATCATAAAGTCACAAACCATCTGAAGTGAATTAATGAAACGTTGAGCGTATGGTTCAGGTAGTGCTGGTAATACGACCGTATTTGGTATATGTATTGCGCCAATATCCAACTCAACTATTATTGTTGTCTCCAAATCAACATTTAAACCGCTACGAATCGAATTAAGCAAACCCATTATATACGGTGTTGGACTTTCCAAATATTCCATCAAAATTTCTGGTAGTACCGGTACAAATGTGTGTCTGGAATTCATCGTTATCATCACTACTACGTCCAGTATGTATTCAACTTGAAGTGGCAAATAATGACTAAGAATAACGAATAAACAAACGGATATTCGAATGGATAAAGAAGAGCACAAATCGCATAACAACTATCCGCAAGACGTGTCAATGAGGACGATCGGAATAATACTTTACGATCTGTCATGATTGCAACCAATAATGTCAGAATGTTTTGAATTGTTCCTGAAAGACAATAAATCTACAACTGAATAAAATGAATGACTGATGCAAGAATAGCAGAACACGAACCCATCTGTTCCACAAATAATGCCACCTTATCAGCCGTAACTGGTACTTTTAATGAAAGAGGTGCACGAACATTGAGCCGTTCAGCAGCCACATTAATTGTAATTGCACTCGCACCAACTGACAAGAGAACATTTGATAGCAATGTCGCAGCCATTGTTTCGGCACTACATTCCGAGTCCAATATGGCTAGATGTAATCGATTCAAACAATTCTAAACATTATTATACAATCAAAATTTCATATTAGCAGCTATCGATACATGATAAAAACAACCACGTCTACAAACACTACTTACCCTAAATAGTTCAAAAAAAGGAAATCTCGAGAGAATAACGATCACTTTCGGCTTATATAGCAATAATGTTCCATTTAATGTTAAGTCATCAAAGTCCTCTTCAATAACACTTCCGCATGGTTCTTGTAGCTGAAATAGTATACAAATGAATTTGATCATTGGAATGAAAGATATGACAGAATGATGATTGGTAACAACCTGTAAACAATAAGCATATTGCCTTGAACCAAGAATATCGGTTAATGTATTAAAGAAGAATGTCGGTGGTTTTACTTCTGTTGACAATGACCAGCCTTGAGGTTGAGAAAACTAAAATACGTACGAAGAATTAGGATCATGAACAAATCAAAATAGATCAGATCTGCGGTGAAAGTGGACTGTTTTAATCAGAAAGCACACAGAAACGAACCACTTCAAGATTTGGCGATAACGATATATCAGGCCAATCGTACTTCGGCAATCGTTGCACTATATTTCCAACACTATTGCCGTGCCGGATCTGCGATTCATCGAAAGCAATTACTACAATATAATCAACCAAACGAACTGATCCCCTCTCGTTTCCATCCATTCTAAGATCCTTTCGCCGTTCCAATAATCCACACGTACTCAATCACTCCGCATTACCCACTTCAAACACAACAGCAATGAATAAAGTAACAGTAATGATAACAATAACGATATAAAACAAATAATTCAATGTCAACAATAATGAAACATTAAAAAAACAATAACAATTATCGTTATAAAGGTCATCATCAATGCGTTTTTGTGAAGAGCAACACAATATGAACGGGCGTTTTGCAAATGGTCATTAGTAATTGATAACGAAGCAGGCAAAATGCGTTAGCGATTCAAGCTGATTTCTGAACGGACATCCGGAAATGATTTGAAGTCGTTTGAATCGAGTCGAAAACTGTTTTAAGTCCGCATAAAATTTCGTGGACTTTGCAGAGATTTTGGCGAAACGTTTGAAAGGATTATGAAGATATTCGCCAAAGCTATTACCATCCATCCATGCATACGTTCATTCGCCCACATATCCCTTCTCCCATTGTCCGTCATTTAGCTCAGCTTAACGCAACCAGCAACAGCTGACTTTGTTCATCCACCCCTTATCTTATTTTCTTTCTCGAGGCCAACCAGCGATTTTTCGTTTTCCATCAGCCTCTTTGTATGGGTCACTTTCATCGTTGTTTGAAAGGTTTTTTTCGATCGTCATCATGCTATTTCTCATAATTATTCTCTCTCCAAAAGTCAACGATCAGTTTCAGCTGATTATAAAAAAGAATAAAACACACCTGGAAAACAACTAAAATCAACATCATTATCAGATATAAACCCCTGAGACATTTCTTAATATTTGTTCAAATATGTTTTACATCTGCAAAAATTTGTAATTCGCAATTATTTATCATGCAACAAAACACTTGCATTGAATCTAATTGCATCAATAACTTCTAATCGTAACTCTCAGCGTTTGCATTCACTCAATCAAACATTAGCAAAAGCAGCATTTTCAGTCTCTGAAATGAACTATAAAAATTTCAGCTTTTCGCAACCGCAAAAGAATAAATTCAACAATAATCCGAACTTCCATCTTCTTAATGTTCACGTCCTATCAGCATAACATAATCGTTATGTAAAAAAAACGAAAGCATCGATGACCCTCGCAACATCTCCTCCCATTTCAGACCCTTTTGACGGGGTATTTCATTGCTGTCAGCTATTATTCTTATCACTATCAATACTGTTACCACTTCATGTCACCGCTGCATCGTCTTGCGACAGTATATATGTTACCAATTCCTCACTGATCGGATTGGTGTCAAATCTGAATGTACCCGCAGCTCATCTACCGTATACGATCAATGCAAACGCTCAGCTAAAACAGAAATTCTTGGAATCTAACGAAAACTTTCAATTGAATGCAAATTTATGCTGGGGTTATGAATCGAACTGTACATTTGAAAACAGTTACTCTTCACGTAAGTTATCATGCAACAAAAAAACCTCATGGTAAGTTATATTCACTTCATGTGTTTTAAGTAATAAACCACTCTCGATTCAAGGCGATTGAAAGATTCACAAAGTCAGCAACAAATATTTTGGAAGCAGGCAGATTTTGGAAAGCTCATCGATCTCAAACGAAGTATTCAACCAATTTGCGCGTCAAAAACAGCGGTACTTACATTCTCTCTTAATACATACTAGTAGTAAGAATAATAGTGATCGCTAATTGTCTAGTGAGAAACATACTCTAATTAACAGACTTTAGACATAAAGTCCTTCAGTATCCCCTACAGATACTTCATAAATCCATAAACACAACCACATAACTAATATCAGTTAATGGCATTGGGACACTACTCGGTTTCGAGCAAAACTTACTCGTTTGCGGGGTGACGTTTTGCTTGAAACCCAGTGATGAACCAATGTCTTAGATGTTGCCGAGCCCGAGTTAGGCTATGGTTTGGCTTGTATCTAATCATCTGCTTGTGTTATCATTTAATCATATACTTGCCGTAACGTTCAACCGTTACAATGAAATTGTTATCGTTTGTTACACACAAATAAGTGTATAGTGAGAGAATGATGCCTAGGCAGCATGCGAGCATACAAATATCTATAGGTATGAAAGTCGACCCATGTATCTCTTATAAATTCTCAAAAGAACACTTCAAAACAGTGCAGTAAAAGATCGCAATACGGTGTACATTTATAATACCATGTTAACCAAAAAATTTTCGGACTCGTATCCGTTCTTACAGTCTTACTTTTATGGCTTTTTGTTAGTGTGTGCATCGCATCTAATTGTTATGCGGATTCAGATTTATTTTGATTGGCGCACCTGAATTACACAAATTTTTATTCTCATCTTTGAATCACTCTTCAACAGCCTACCGCAGCCCTATTCTCCGAATGAATTCCCTGACACACAGAGCTTTTTGCAAATTCTTCTATGAATGCTAGTAGCAAAGCATCCATGCGGCATACCGAATATGGTATTCTACATAAACGATTATTCATCAGAATTCGCATTGTCGAGTAAAACTCATTCTAACAGATCTCAATTATGATCGTGTGAAAAATATTGTGTTTATATTTATTGATGACGTTTACACTGGTGTTCGTCGGGGAACGGGCTCCCCGACGGGGAGCGCTCGTCCCACGCAATTTGCTTCCCGACTTTTCTGCAGGGACCTCCCAGTTTTCTCAGTTCAGTTTTCTTCCCGCGGGGACCCCCACCCCGAAGCGATCCGCTCCCCGACTTTTTCTGGGGGACCCCCCGTCCAGTCCTTTCCCTGCGGAAACTCCCTTCCTACGAAAAACTGCTCCCCGACGAACGCTAGTTTTCACTATTAGTAAAACAAACACAAATCTAAGCCGGCATTGTTAAAAAGAAAAAAGTCAAATATTCGAGTTTCAAAAAGCAAATCAGTGATCTAAAGTGATCTGGCAAAAATATTCCGATGAAATGAAACACTCAGGAACTAATGAAAACGGTTTTTTTCTCATTCCAGAATGGATCGCATTTGGAATGTTGCGAACATTTGAGATTTTGTAAAGCATCGAACATATTCTTCGATTTCAAAAATCTCAATGCAAAATCTTCGAAAAGGTTCGATGTGCGTTTCGTTTTGTCCAATGAAACTGTAATCATTCAGCATTAATTAACGAGTTATCTCCATTTTCATTATTGGCTTGATTTCACCGTTGACCCAACTCTACCCTAAAGTAATTATACAATTGTGTGTTGTGACTCACAGTTTAAAAGTAATAAGTTAGTTGAGTGGATGAACTATAGAAAGTAAATGGACTTATACTAATAGTAATATGGATAAAAGTAATAATAAAGAATTTCTATAGATATCGCTCAGATGTGATTTTAAAAGGGAACGTAGGTGGCAATTGCAATGAACGCTTTGATAAAGCATTACTACTGGATCGTTGTGATGAGAAAAGTTATCTTCAAAGCTGGTTTGTAATGAATTATTGATTGCTTTTAGAATTGATATAGATCAAAAGATGAATTGGGCATGAACGCATCTTCATGAACATATATATATATCTGATAGGGTGACAAATATTTGTTGGCTTGGTAAAATGAAACGCTGAAAAGTGCAGTGCTCAGCTCAAATGAAAGTGCCTTTTTGTCTAGAAACGATCTGTCGGAGCTGAATCAATTTTTGTTCTGCTTCATGTGCACTGATGCTCGAATTTTGTCTGGATGAGATGGCATATTCTTGTGCGCAGAAATTCTGATGTTGGAAAAAAATTCGTCACTGCAATATGTGAACGTGTTCTGAAAGTATGCGACCTTTACTTATGAAAACACTCGTATCCAAATTCAATAAACTCGCATTAATCTGCCTCGAGGCAGTTCTCATGCACTGCCACACACTTCTTCCAACAGTTCAGTCACGCTGTCGCAAGCAGCGCTGGAAGGACTCTTTTGGGATGGTGCGCACTTGGTTATTTGCATTGTGCATGATTTTTGAATATATCACCATTCTGTTCGTTTCTTCATTCATCGGCTGTAAACCGCCGATGAATGCCTTCCTATTTGATTTTGTTAGTTACTTTTGTTCATGCCCGAAAATTTTCGATCGGATATTTTCAAAAACTTCTAGTATTAAGACACACTGAACAAACATTTGAAAAGTTATTTGAACTAAGATTAAGATTCTTGTTGTTAATATGATCATTATTATCACTACTATTATTATTATTTTATATTACTGCTATTATCATTATTATTACTATTACGGTGATTATTATAATTATCATTATTATTACTATCATTATTATTAATGTCACTATTGTTATAATTATTATTTAGGGGCAGTGAACTAGAAAACTTTGAAACTTATCCGGAATTTGAAGTGAATGAGCAGAACTGTGACATAATATTCGAGCGAGCCACCATACTGATCAAACTGGATGCATCAGTCAATATGTATCATCATTTTTGTGATTTTATCAATGTCTATCTAAGCCAGCATCTCAACGGCACCACATTTGATATGGACGTGGATATTGTTTGGTGGGACACGGTATGCACAAGACTTGTTATAACACTGTTGGCAGATAACCTAACCATCATTTCAGTTTCATGGAGGCTTCATCGATAAATCCTTTGGAACAGTATGGAAAGCATTCAGTACAAGAGAACCCATTGAATTGATCTCTTTTGATAATAAGCGAGTTTGTTTTCGTAATGCAATTTTATCGCTACTTGCCAGACAACGTCTAGGACTCTATTATAATATGCCTTTGGTAAGTATCGCTTTTTGTAATGCTCATTTCAAAGAACAACTATCAGAACGGTTTGTAAAGACGATAAGATATATAATTATGAAGTATCGCTAAGAATTGTGTATATTTCATATTGATGGCTGTGAGGGCAGTGGTTTATTCGAAGCATTTTCTGAGCATATATTACATCGACTTGGCGTCGAACAGCAAGGTCCAACGTTGAATGCAATAAGAATAACATTTTTATCGAGAAGTACCAAATATCGACGCATTTTAAATGAAGATCAAGTATGTTTCATTACAGTACAATCGTTCACCTGCCATTAAAGTTCAACAATAACAAATTCTGTTTCTTAATATGTCAATGCGGATTGACAAAAAATTTGAAGAGGAAACAATTCATTTATCATTACATGTTAACAACGTATTTATAACATCACAAATATTTCCATTACTGATATTATTATGCGTTAACAATGATGGTTTTTATATGACTGTGAAACATTAGCTCCAATTAGTATCTTTATTACTTTGATTACCGCTTGTCTGAACTCCAATTGACGCATTTTCTGGTTCACTTTCATCCAATGTTTCCACTTGTTTTAGTTCAATCGGTACTAAGACAGTCTACAATTGATCACTTTTACAAAATTTGCAATTATTACTAATCGTGGGCAGTTCATAAATTAATTTATTCACCAACAATATAGAATATTTGAAATGAAAAACTCAATCATTAGTATGATAAAAACCTGATGTCCCATTGGTGGTTGACTGAAGAAGAATCCTTTAGTGACAGCGTTATCTTGAATGGAACGTAGATTATTGTAAAGAATCCATAATATTCCCGTACAACACAGTGCTGAAAAAATGAGCAGATATATCTGTAAGAGATCAGCTACAGTTTAAAGTGCCTCCCCATCTTAAGCTGCTGTTCATCGAATCCATAGGATCTTTGTTGAATTTCGCAACGGGTGGTGTATTTTGAAGCATGCTTATTGCAAAAGACATTTGTAAAGCCTTTAGAATTCCAACACGGGTTTCTTTGCTGCCATGAGGGTTTGAGAACGATCAGATGACTTTAGGGACACCCTTAATTATATCTGCTTCACATCGCTTCTTTCAGATGTGATCTCCTTTATGTAACCAAAAAATTTGCAACTTGATGAATTCTATTTTGATTTCAATGCATGTTTGTTCTCAGCTACGGAAGCAATATGCAAAGACGAGTCTTTACTGACATTGAGGAAGAAACAAAAACAACAACTGATAGATAACCTTGTACAGGTGTTAAAACCATATGCAAGCTGTACATTGCAATGCGTGTGTTTGTTACAATCCGATTCGTCTCAAGCAGATTCTCCTGTCATAACATTTGTTTCATTTAAGCAACCTTTTACTGATCAATCAAAAATCTAAAATTTGTGGTGATGTGCCACAAACACTGAAATATTTATGCAATTTTCAATGAATACCTCGTAATAGCTCCATCCTTGTCCTCGAATTTTCTTATCTTCACCGTACACTAAGTATGCGGTCCATATAAATAACGTAACACTTATAATAAAACAAATACTTGAAATGAGTATGCATAAAAGCTGAAATTACCATTATCACTTGTTTTAATAGAAGAACACCGATTCGCTTGCTGACTAAGAAAATTTTATCGAGGAGTTCAAAATTTGTTCATGATACTGAAGTTTCTCATGGTCTGGATCAATGATTTTCAACCGTTTTCGGCCAGTCGATCGTCTGGGCTAACATCTTTGTCAAATTCCCCCTAACCTTCCTTCCCGTCCCTCTTTCTTCCTATTTCGAGCAAGTCGCGTCCTCTAACTGCAATTTTCGCTCGCTAATGCGCGATATTACTCAATTCCGAGGCACTGCTCATACTTAAGCCTAAGCCGTTCGTTAAGTGGGATAGAGTAAGAGTTTCAAATGACTGACCAAGAACCGTTTGGTTGGTTTGTAACGAATGAAATATAAAACAGTTGAAGCGTTCAGCATGAAAATGAAACTCGCAATAATGGCACAGTAGTAAGGACAACCATCATAAAAAAGGCATATTATTGCGAAAACCAGCTGAAATAGTCATCGATTCGTAATTGAAGTGTAAATAAATTCATCCGTGATCAAACTAAGCAGTAAGATTCAGCTTAAATTAAAAGCGGAGTTTGTTTTGTCTCTATTCTTCTTTTTTTATTGCTCGAATCCCCTGATCTTGTACGATAGCATTAAAGCACAATGTGCAGACTCAAACTTACGAAGATATAAAATACGTAAGCGTTTTCAAACGTCACCGGAACGGAAGGGGAAGAACAAATTTTGAGTGAACAAAAAAAAGAACGACAAACAGACCAGTTGTAATGCAGAGCCAAAAGCCACTAAGCAAAGTGTTAAAAGTGTTCGAGCATTTGATAATAATACTTGATTTGTTACCATTTGTTCAACCTGGAATTATATTTATGTATATGCGCAATAGTAAAATTGCAATCTCAATAATGTAAGTGATGGCAATAGCAATAATTATAACAAAAACGACAGAATTAATGATAATAAAACAATAGGAATTGAAAATTCACGTGAAAAGACTGTGTCATAGCAGTTCCTTTTGACGTTGAACTGTCGATCATTAGATTCGGATTGTGTATATTAACGGTCGTTCGTACTTAAAATTATATTCACATTAATACTATGTGAGTTGTGGATCGATATTAGCAGAAACCTTTTGGGTATTGTGTTGATAATGTCAAGTGTTGTAAACGAACCAGTAGATTTAGTGGTAGCGGTATCATCAGATTCAACGGTAGTAACAGAATCAGTGAAGCGACGATGATGTGGCGATGATAATGAGGTAGTATTGTAGTTATGTACTGATTGCTGTTGTTGTGCACCTAATTGCGCATCTGATAGCAGTAAATTCTGTAAGCCATACGTATCACGATAATACATCGGAGGTGGAAAGGAGCCTACATATTGCTGAAATTCAAAAATTTATTTAATCAGTTATTAAATCCTCGTTGAATTTGATTATCATGACCATTAATTGAACGACAGATGAATAATAGATTTATTTACTGTGCAACGCTTCGGTTCATTTCACTACTCTTGGTGATGGTTTAAAAAACTGAAATGATGGACAGCCAGTAAATTCGTAATATTGTATGCATTTCTTGCGATGAGGCCATTAAGCTCTTAACCAAATTGTACAGAACCGTTTCCGATTTATTATACATCTATGAGAGCCGTCCGTAATTCTATAGCTTGTAAGATTCATTGGTTATTATTGTTTTTAAAATTGTCATTCACCTGATTATTCGTTGCACTGCGATACGGCATTGGTGCTGACATTGTGAAATCAATCCTCAGAAAAAAAATTACTTCTGAGAGAGCACTTTACTATTAGAGCACAATTCTTTATATACAAATAGGAATATATATATATATATATGAGAAAATAAATATAGATGAAAATATAACTAAATAATAGTATTCAGTTATTTGTTTATGTAAAGGTAGAGTATAGCAATTAGTAATGATTAAGAATGTGCATAAATGAAATAGAAATATTCGATCGTTAAGATAAGCCTCCAGCACAGTGTTGGTAGTCGAGTGACATTGGTGTAGTGGAATAATGAATCTAGTTTTGAATGAAAATAATATTATGAATTCTCGAACAATATGAGTATTAATGATGGAGTTTATCCGTATAAAGCAAGCGTCGTTCAAGCTTTTAACACACTCGTATGATCGTCGATTACCACCTGAAACGAAACGGTACAACGAGCGATATGTTCATAGTAACGTGCAACATTCTCATCACATATTTGTTTGCATGATGATATTCGCATTTAAAATATGTATTATGCAAGAGCAGCAACAAGAACATCATTCATTTACCGTTGCAGTTCAGTTGATAAACACAGTGAGTGCAGAATGCGCACTTATGGTATAACTAAGCGTGATGGCTTGAAAATAAACCTTATCACTCGACAAATCTTGTATTTGTTAAGAGTGGAACCAATAAATTCGGTCGTTGCATCCTTCTCAAATATTTCTCTTTTTTGTTTCGTCAAAGCATTGAACATTTACAAGCGTACAGCAAACATTTATTTCAATATAAAAGATTTATATAAAATTGCTAAATTCATCTGCTTAGTTTAATGGCCAGTCGTTCTATTTTATTGTAGTTGTACACACAGCTTACGTCCATATAACAGACGGATGAATGGACTAGCTAGTATGTTTTTGCTGTATATAGCACAATTTTACGGGTTTATGATAAACGAATGATACAAATAAATAGGATATATTAATAGATAAGATTTAGTAACAATATTCATCAGCAGAGTTTAACGTCTCACTCAGCACCGAGCAACAGACAAATCATATCAAACACAAACAGAAAAAAGTGTACATAGAAGAAGAGAATCGTTTATCTCTGATTATCAGCACTTCCGAACATTCAGTAATTCCTTCATCTGCTCATCTTTCTGATACATCTTCTACTATATGAGGTATTTAAAAGTACTGCTAAATTTGAATATTTTTAATATTCACAATATATTACAACTTCGTTTAGTTCAGCTCGCGTTATCAAACTACATTAAAGTGAAACTCTCCGGGTAGCTAATTTATCGCTGCAAATATATATATA